TTTATTTTTTACTAGTTGATGCACACATGTATTGCATGTGGAACATATTGTATTTGAATAATATATTAAACTCTAAATCAATTTTTCCAAAACACATATCTTTAGTATGTATTCTCTTGTGTCTTTCATAAAAAAACCAAAAAAATAAACAACCAATGACCATGCTCTACAAGGAAACCCCACCCCACCGAAAAAAAAAAAAACAGCCTAAACTAATATTTGATAGAATATGTAGTGAAAAATAATGTGTTTCTGTGTTTTCATTCTTGTTTTTAAAGTTTTTTCTCATATGCTTCTTTGAAAGATAAAGAAAGAACATAAATTATAGTTAAGAGTAGTTTCCAATAGGAACTAAGGTAGCAAATAAGGAAGAAACTTAACTGACAACTGTCTAACACATAATATATGGCAATTGGATTCGTCTTATTATATATGACTTAACTTCACACCGGGGAGGGTGTTGCAATCAATATATGAAGACAACACCCCTTTTGTCGTCCACTCAATTTTTTCAAAGACTAATTGTATAAGTCTCCATCATGGTCACTACATTTGACACTAATAAATCCCCCATTAACATTAACATACTGTAAATGTTTATTGAATCGTATCATAATATAATGTTTCTCATTAAAAATGCGTTCATTAATTTCAATCAACTAACCCACTTATGTTCAGACATAACTTCTAAAACTTCAACAAACTTGTCCATTCATCGTTGGAAGTGTAATTTTGTTCATACATAACTTCTAAAACTTCAACAAACTTGCCCAATCATCGTTGGAAGTGCAACTTTTTTAACCTTATTTGCATTTTTCACATTTTTTAGCTTTCAAGCTTTTGAACACTTAAAACGAATTTAGGTCTCAATAACCAGATGCCTATGCAAAATGACCTAAAATTGACGAAATGATGGAACTTTAGTGTTCAACTCTAAATTCCATGCGGACATACTAAATATTGTAGCAAGAAGTGTGAACTATAGCTCTATACAAGCTAATTATAAATTGTGATAGAAACATAACATAATGGATGAGAAAATATTTTAGAAAAGAAAAACAATAACAGATTCATAAACATAAATAAAGCTCGCCATATCATTCATTAAATAGAACATTAAAATAAATATTTTATATATGCTTAGAGAAGGCAAGTAACTATGTGTTTTATTCTATGTAGACCATCCCCCTGCTCTTGACATGTTACTCAAGACCATCCCCTTGCTTTTGACATGTTACTCAAAGATCTCATAGAGTGACAGTTTGTTTGAAGGACAATGTCATATGTGTCTTCTTCTAGTTGCTCCAAATCAATTGCATCATCACCTGTTCTTCATATCTATTATGCAAGAAAGGTAAAGATGTCAGTGCGTTTGTGAGACAATCATATCTCAAGCCAATAGAGATTTAAGAAATTCAGCAGTATATGTCAATCTAACTGCCTAAAAGCATATGTTGAGGTAATTTAAAAAAATTACAGATAATATTGGAACTATTGTATCATAACATAATAACATAACTTTGTGTTCATATATTTCCCAATATTTTGCTAACTTTGTATTCATATACTTCCCAATTTTTTGCTCAATTGCTATCATCTCTTGTGACAGGGTTTAATGTCAAAACATTGCTAGCCAAGTAGGAGTCCAAGCAATAATCATATAAAAATATGTATTTCCAATCCAAAAGAGTCATAGGATTGAAACAGTCACATGATCGAAAAATACTGCTTTTTAGCCATCCTATTACAAGAATCAACTTTATTAAACAACCCTAAAACTTCCCCAACTTCACCTAACATGAAGGAACATACAACCCATAAAAAATTCAGCTACAAATTTAATTTTACTTTGATAAAGAAACAAAAATCACCACATGCAATGCTCAAGCATCTTAAATTATAATATTTGAATCACCAAATAGTCATTAGGAAAAATGCTACCCTTGCTGAAAATAATAGACAGATCTTGTGAATTCCTCATATGTCCAAATTTTCAAATTAAAAGCTATAGACGTAACACGAAGAAAGTTTATACCTACTCCTGCAGTCAATGGGCACAATCCAAATATCATTCCAACAAGTACGGTATAATGACAAGAAAAATAAAGGAAGGGATAGAGGAAAAAAAAAAGGATATGTAGAACTGCCTGAAAATAAAACAAACAAAGTTGAGAGAGATAAACTTTGTCATGAAGTTGAATGAAACAAAGAGCTCAGTAGAACATTCTTCAACTAAGACTGGATGCTCCATATTCCCCCCAAAAATGAATAGAAATAATATTACTTTTGTGGTACTGCTTTCAATGACTCACTCCTACCCATTTTTTTACCACCACTCCAACATTAACTGTAAAAAACACAACTGCTCTTTAAAAAGAATCAATAATGAAAGCTACAATTCTAGCAATACGTAATAATGTAAAAGATGTCATCAATCACTTTCTTCACTCTTTTACACTTGAAAGACCAATGTTCCATTCAACCATGGGCCAAACTATCCAACCTTGGGATTTTTCCAAGTGCTGCCATTCACGGCAAGGGAACCATCATTTGAAGGTGGAATTCTGTCATTTACCAACCACCTCCATCACACCAGTCTTGTACCACCTCTACCTTGTGGGACTTTTGCTCACATAGCTTGTAGAAATTGCTTATTAAGAAATTACTATATGATAGCTGAATTATTTTGAACACGAATCTTTTCTATTCACTTAAAAAAAAACTTTTTGACATGAACACAACTTTACGAAATCTTATTCTGATTGATCTTTCCGAGTTTGGATCAACTCTCATCCTACCTCAACCTTCACTTACTTCGATATTGCCTTTTGCAAGTAATGAAAATTTTGGTAAAATAGCACAAGAAATAGTAAAACCCGTACCATCAAGAAAAAAAAGCTCGCTGATGTTATTAATTCAACTTTGCTACAAGGTCTAAAACTTGGGTCTTAATGTCATCTCTACCATGATTTCCTTATTATGAATCTAATTTTCAAAATTGAAAGGGAAATTATGAATTTTTTTTCCTCTATGGTGTACTGACTGAAATATTAATTGTGTATAAGTCAACACTAATTCACAAAATCAAAAACTCACATAAAAAAAACTTGAATTTCAATCCAACCACAAAAAACAACTAAAGAACATTTTAAAAAAGAACCAACAATATACATCGAATGAGACACACCAACCTGAAGCATTGTAGCCTAGATGAGTCTGGTGTTTGATTCTTTTTGGTTCGATCTCATTTATAACAGACTAATAAACATGACTCATTACTTCTTAAGTGATAGTGATTCACTGCAGTGGGTAAGAATTTCCAGGTTATACCCCTTGTTTAGCAATGCAGACAAACCGTGACAATGAGAGTCAGAGGTAAAGAAAGAAAGAGAGATAGGCAGGGAGAAACAATTCGATTGAGATGTGGGCTATGTTGGCTTGAATTGATTTACCGTATATTCGCTACATAACATTGTGTTTATGAACGAATAAGAATATGAAAAACTCAAAATAATTAATCGATATTTATTGCCGTTAAGTTACAATAATTATGATGAAAGATAAAACTAATAGAATTGGAAGCGTCTAAACAACGTAAAATATAGGTGTAGATATAGATACAAATTTGTTTTATGGTGATTATAGTATAGATGGAGGATTAAAAAAAAGTTAAAAGTTTTTTGGGTTAAGAGACTTTTAAGAGTAGTATAGCTATAGATATAGATATAAATTTTAGAATATATTAGTAGTATTGATAAGATAAGATTGGTTAAGAAAAATAAAAAATAAAGGTTAAAATTAATTATTAAAGCTCAAATGAATATAATTAAATGTTAAATTTATGCACATAATAAATTTAAGAAGATGAAAGGATATAAGAAGATTATGTAATTAATTGAAAAAAATAAAAAGAAATGAGAGAATATGATTGACTTTAAAACAAAGATCAAGGGTAAAATAATCAAACAAAAAATTTTCATTTTTGTTAATATTTTAAAGTAGTATAGATTTGTAAACAGACTACCTTAAAAGTGGTATCTTATAGTTTTATTTTCTATACTATTAATTTTTCTCAGGAAGCAGGAGTGAAAATGTTGATTGATCAACCCCATGGCCGAACATTTTATAGTTTAACTCTTCCATTACTCCCAACCTCAAGTTCTTTGCAGTTGCAATACCTACAGCGTTATCAAAAATTCATTCCAATTACGAGATTCAACTAACCCAGTTGTGTGGGGGATAATTTTGCACTATGAGTCACCATCTCTTACGGACGGGGAGGACGGTGAGGAAACTTTGAATAACATGATTAGAGGCGGCCAGAAAGACTCAGATATTTAAGTCAGAAAGTAAGTCGAAGATAATATGCAATGAATAGACTATGATTAAATATCTAGCCTGGTATCCAAAGACCTTTATTTATAGTAGTAGAAAGTTGTATTCCAAAGAAACGCAAACTTTAGGTTGTGATATGATCAATCTCATCCCTAGTCCCTCAAAGTTCGGGATAGCTAAACTAGGACTCTTACTCCTTGGTGCTTTATCACCAGCTCCTTCATATTCGAAGTAGTATCATACTAAGACTCTAAGTTTTAGGTTGATCCTTAGTCGTTTAAGGGCAAAAGAGCTCATAATAGTTTAATTGGAAGTAAGGTAGTCAGACAATGGTGCCTTTGGGTAACAAGTGTTGGCTTGCAAATACCTCCCCCACACAAGTGCCGACCAGCAGGTACCTGCCCAAGTAGGTGCCGATCGGCAAACACCTGCCCAAGAGGGTCGGGGAGGGTGTCGACCGGTATGGGTTACCTTAAGCCTGACACCAATAATGTTATTTATTGTCGCTACCTCCCCGTGTCATTACCAATTTAAGAGGCCCAATAGTGTAATTTGTTGGTGTTCTTGTAGAAGAGGGGGAGAGGGGGGGGGGGGGGGGGTTCAGTTCATACTTGGATGATATATCTTCTTTTGTGCTAAATCCTTTGCATTCAATCCACATCAATCCCATAGAAAATTATATAGATTTTGAATGTACAACTAGGTGTAATAGGAGACAACTTCAGATTGACTCAATGTATTCCCAAGTTGACATGAATCTGGCTTTCAGATTATACAAACCACTGATGTTACAGTTTGGCAACATAAATCCATCATTTCGGCGAGAAGGAAAATAGTAAATAGAGATGGCAAACAATTGAAGATGCAATTTTGAGTTAAAAATGTCCTTCTATTCATGTAATATTAGTCGTCATCCACTCGTGGTGCATACTGTTGTCCACATGCAATGAGTTTCCATTACTAAACACGGGCCTTGATCTCTTCTTCAGTGCAGCAGCCTGCAAAGCCAAACCCATGGGAGAAACTGAGTTTCTGCTTGTCGTTAAGCAGCTGTCAACGGAGAAGTCACCAATTCGAATAGGCACATTTGAAGCATTGTTGTTGTCTAGAGCTGCAGCAACTTCAGACAATGAAGGGACTGGGATCATCCCATGACAGTCATTGGCAACCTTGATCGCTAGTTCAGACAGCTCTTCCCTAGCAGCATCAAGCCCAGAAGTGGCTGCGGTCTGGTCATTGAGAGCTTTACAAGCTTTTTCAAGAATCGATTGCAGGTATTTGCCTTGCACTTCAATTCGAAGTTGGAGACGACGCTGGACCTGGTTTCAGTTGGACCAATCGAATAACCCTCTTAAAAATAGGAATTCTAGAAGAAATGCAACGGTTTTCGACCAGAGCTGTAAACAGAAAGGTCCTCCGAAACTCCAAAGCATGCATAAAGAGTGTTTTTTTTTTTTTTGGGGGGGGGGGGGGGGAGGGAGGGGGAAGGGGGACAAAAACAATTACAAAAAGGTTAGGACAAATTTGTTTTCTCAGCTTGCCTGGTTCAGATTATTTATCGTGGGTAAACCATGTTTGGCAAGCAAATGTAAAACTGAGCAAAGTGGTTAAAGCCAAAAGTCAATACAACAATCAACTAACCAAACCAAGCCTTATGTTCCAATCATTTGGGATAAAGCTGAAAGTCAATGAGCTGTTTAAATAGAGAAGAGTGCAACGGTAAAACTAACCTCCAGCTGCTCATGCAGTCTTCGCTGGACTTCCATCTGTACTCGCAAAGCTTCAGTCACCTGGTAGCCACTATTTAAGAAGGTGAAAATCAGCCTTCGTTTTTTCACCCTTTTGATAAGTAAAAGAACCTAGAAAACTGAAGGGTAAGCAGGTAAGCTTTGTTGGTATCAAACCTAAAGATATTACGTACTCATTCAAATCTTGGGCCATCAGTCTTGATGATGCTGATGTAGATGAGCCTGTGTCCTGACTTTCTGCGATGCAAGATGCTGCAACGATATTTTCACATTACAAACAAAATCAATTAGAATTTCAATTGTTGCTCATCACCAGCAATATCTACCATTTTCCATCTGTCTAGCAGAAAATCATAACCTTCCATTCTAATACAATTTATTCCCCAAGACCCATGTGTATCCTACACACGCCCTAAACCAATCGCGGCAGTGTGGTATATCAACAAGGTGGAGAAAGGTGATCTATTTGCAGGTAATAAAAAACCCCAAAAAGTTTTCCAAACCATTTCTTGAAAGAAAAACGCATAGAGGGGAATGAAACATCAAACGTACGAGAGAAGAGGAGATATAATAAAAATAGAAACTGTAAACATCCAAACATCTAGTTGAAACTTCGACATTCAACATAGTAAGGACATATTAGCACCAATGTTACAGGTTTTCCGTCTAGTTGTTTACAGTTTTTGATTCAAAGTATTGTTTTGTGTTTTGTAAATGTGCACATCAGCAAGTAGTTTTTCAATGGAGTCACTCTATTTTGACTGAAGATGATACTCAACATGTCAAAAGAGCACACGTGCAAAACTAAAATACTCAAATATGGGGCAATGTGCAAACATCAAGATGCTATAGAGAGGTCAAGTTTTGTACCGTCTTTAGAGTTGTCAGTTGACTCCTTGCAAGATTGCTTCCCCAGCCGATATTTCTGCAGGGACAAGACATGGAAGTTCAGAGTGAGTTTTGCTTCTATATAGACTGAAGCATATTATATGCAAAGTATTACATAACGGTAAGTAACAAACTTTGACGAGACAAAAGGAGGTGGATAAAAATAAAATAGAGTAGAAGTTCATCACCAGTATTTAAACTCTGCACACTGGCAATATAACTCAAAAGATAATTTATTAATTTTCTCAGTTAATTATGTCTATCATTTTGTGTCATGGGTGTGTTGGCGCCAGGGATCTATGCAACTAAACAAACATCATGATATATCATGCTCTGAACAAAATTCTAGACCAAAAAACCTGAAGATGAGACTTCAAATGATAGAGGGTGAGGCCTTTGACTCCCATTGTTCTCATAATTGTCTTTGGAGTTGCTTCTGCAATGCAAATCAGGACAGATAGAATATCAGCAAAACAAATTCTCAAAATTTTGAAAGAATATCCATGAAAAATTTATACAATATCGAAAAAGTAAGATCTTACACAAGAGAATAGACCCGTCAGGTGAGTCCAAATGCATGGGTCCAAAAACAGAGTAGGTCAAGTTTTGAAGCAAAGTAATACAGGGTGTGTTCAGAAACATTTGAAATCAGCTTGTCTGACTACAAAGATGATTCAGAATTTAAACAAAGCAATTAGGCAAAGTAGCTCTGATCAGCGTGTAATCAAAGCTTTTCTTTAAACTTTTTCTGACCCGGACTGGTAAATATCTTTTTTTTATAGGAGACCCTGGCTGGTATATATCGTGCCACCCGACCAGAATTAGCATAAATCATCTTGTCTATTTTTTCTTGTGTTTTTTTTGGCAAACAGCTCCATAGGCTGGAAATTAAGTCCCAAGAAATGTTGACAAAGTTCAATGGCACATATAAGATAGTTAAGGCAAAAACTGGAATGTAAATCATTGTAACATGTCAAACCTAAACCCTATGTACTATCCTACTCCAGAACTTGGTGAAATGGTAGAGCCCTGAATAGGCTCATTCTGTAGATTGCTTCATGATATGGGTAATCAACATAAAAAAGCCATTTTTCATTTCTTAGACACATGAAACACTATACTCTGTTGCAAGATTTTCTATTCAGTGCTGAAAGCATGTGATATTGAAATTTAACCATCGATGCAACACTAGATATTTATGGGATGCACATTGGTCTCTTGACAATTATGGTCATTGCCTCTCCAAAGAAAAAATACAACTGATCATATACAAAGCTTCATAAATTTGTGTGCCTAGAACAAAAGGTAAAACAATGGATTTCCTTGAATTCATTCTAAGTGCTTCAATTCATGGGCTGCAAGGGAGTTTACAGGCCCTTCGTAAAAATAAAGTATACCAGGTGCAGACTGCAGACCAGCCTTTCAAAAATCTTCTGAATGAGGGCTTTGGTCAGGAAATGACTTAAGTTGTGAGTAACGGCAAAATTTCAGGAACGCACATAAAAAGAATTAATTTATCCAAATCGGAAAAGAATGATATCAGTTTCTTCAACAAGAGGATATTCCAGCCACAACCTTCAATTGCACCATGTGAAACTTATTTGTAAGCAATCTCCAAACGTCATTCCTAACAGAAGCAGCTACAGCAATAGATTATCCAATGTCCTAATTAGAAGTGAGTTGCATCAAGTATCCCAGTCTTGTCTGTTGCCTGAGAGTACCTTGTCCTAGCAAGGCATAAGCATTAACCTTGCTTTGCCTTCATCGAATGGCAGATGTAGAGACATCTGGCAGCGGCCATAGCCCACCAAAATTCTGCAGTTATCAATTTTTACTAAGAAAGTTCTGGCTCAGAGACCCTTGAAGTTGATAAAGCCATCCAGAAGTTCTTCTAATATCATCATTACACGAGGCAATCTTTCCTTATAACCAGTTTTCCATTTCACATTCCAATTCCTACCTCCAGCTTTCTACAGTCATACTTCTAGCAGTGCTCAAAACGATTAGAAGACTGAAACATCAATAATCACCATTTGTCCCTTACCTCTGGCAGTTCTCATATTTATCTCATGACTCTTAAGTGGTTTCCCATTTTCTTGCACTCATTTTGAGATTAAAATTCTCCTTTGTGATGCAAGCGCTTATTTAAAGTTTTTAGTTAGCATCATCTATATTACCAATCAACATCTGATTGCTGGTAATTACTTATCCACTTTCAGTTCAACAATTGCACCCTAGACACCGAGTGTAAAAGAATTTCTTGACTGCTAAATCAAGGACAATATATGGTATAACTTCAAACTATATAAGTGAACTTTTACCCTTCAAAACATTAAATTTACTAAGCAATAGTATTCTTCAACAATGTTAGGAGGAATCTCTTTCAAAGCATTCTAGTCAAATTTTCAATGAAGTCAAACCTCAGATTTGAGTTGTTAAAATTAGCGTGGACGTAGGAAATTCTCCTATAATAGTACCTCAACAAACTCAAAAACGAGAATGCAAGGTCTTCGACTTATAGAGGCAAGTCATATACATTTCAAAACTCACTTCTTTTTGTCATTGTTTTCTTTCATTCTTTTTTTCCCTTTTTCTTATATTTTAAGATTATCGCATTTCAAAATACACCTCGAAGTTGATAAATCCAAAGTAATAACAGTACAGTACTCTTTTTAAACATTAATCCAGCTATGTTCCAATTTACAAAATAATTGAAATACAAGAGCGTACATAACAAGACATACAACACAAGACAACATAGAAACATAACTGGAAGCCTCTATCATCTCCTGTTTCACCCCAATGTAATACATAACAAAAATAGTATATCAAAAGCTCAGAGAGAGAGAGGAATATGTTAATTCCACGATACTTCTGCATGCAATTGAACCCTTTATGTGATTCTGATCACCATTTTCACACTGTTTAGGAACTGTTTGATTCAAGAAGTGCGAAGGCAATACAAGCGGATAAATTGATCATCCTTGTTATATTCTTGATGCTCACATAAATTTTGCATTTACATCAGAATATTCTTCCAAAATGATGACAAAGAACCACAAACACTCTAATTTGTCTGTAATCAGATCGTGTATGCCAAAAACAATTGAACAGAATGGTGCCAAAATCAAGTTTCTCCCTTTGACTACTTTTTCTCCTTGGTGAAGTAGATTCTAGACACTTATATAAAGGATAGCCCATTTGTCAAACAAAATTTGACCACTAAGACTGTTTAAGGATTAGAAATTTGGTTGCGATTGAGGGCAGATGCACAACAAACAAAAGCTAAATCCAAAACTAGTGAAGCAAAAATTGAGAAATAAGCACAAAGCACGAACAAGTGACCAAGGAGCCGTGACACCAACCTACATCCAAGAGTAAAAGAGAATTGAGATTCCCTAACGAAGGCAAAAAACAATGGCTAGAAAGGTGGTGGCTGCACTATTACCCAAAAGGGCCAAAACACATTAGGACCATAAACATCCAAAGAATGAGTCTCTCTCCTGAAACCCTAAAATTCGTGACCCTATTAAATTGGATCCACTGTACAATTGTAACAAGTTTGACATTGATAACCCAATACTTAAACAGAATCCAAAACCACACGAAACGGGGTGAAATCTACCAAGGCTTCAGCCTCCAGAAAGGGTCACTCCGCCACAGGATCAAATTGAATTAAGGACATCCCCATAACATTTGAGAAGGAAGAGTGCACAAGTTAAGAAGACAATTTTCTTTCATAATTGGCAAATAGTTATACAATAATTCACTTGTAAAACGTCAAAAAAGGAAAGAGAAAAATAGCAATTCTTGAAGTTCATTCTAGAGCGTATAAGAATATAACTCTAATTATTTAAAAGAATTAAAAATCATGGCCGTTATTGAGACAAGTTAGAGAGAGAGAGAGAGGGCATCAACTGCTTATAATGATGGGTAATCGGAATTTGGAAAGGGTGAAAAAATGAAAATGAAAATTAATGTATAATAACTTAATTTCACCATAAAGCAACTAATATACATACTACCAAAAACGAACATGAACCGCAGTATTGATGATGATAATGATTAGAGAAAGAAAAGGTAATGAGAGAGAGTAATTAATATATATACACCAATCAACTAAATAATCAAGATAAAGCACCTACAATGAATAGCAAAAGACAATAAACAAATAACTATACAGAAACCCATTTCCAAATATCTGTATATCACCAACTAAACGAAGCCAGGAGCGCATCATCTAGAGAGAGAGAGAGAGTTGAGTTGACTTAGACTTACTATCAGGGCCACCCAGCTGAGTAACAGCATCAACAAATCTCTCATGGAGCTCCGCCGTCCACCGGAGCCGGGGCTTCGGATCCGTGGTCAGCACCAAACAACCATCCCCAGGTAAGTTCGTCCCGTCCAAAGCCCCCGGAAACTCCCCATTACCCACACCACATCCGTCCAACGGCAGAGAATGAATCGCCGAGTACATTTCCTGGAATAAATCACAACTTTCCCGAGAAAACTCTGAGAAAAATGTATACACAAATCTCAGTTATTTGAGAAATGGCAAATGGGTTTTACCTCTTTTTTGTTTACTTGGGGCTTGCAGCCCCTAGAGACTCGTAAAAGCTTGGAATTTGGCGTGTCTGGTCTGGAGTCTCTGGATTGTGGAGTAGTTTTGAGGCTTATCTGTCTCTGTATATATATTGGGGAAGAAAGAGAATTTTAACGCATGTATGGGTGTGTAGATATGTTCTGTCTTTTTCTGTCCTCTCTCTCTCTAGTCTCTAGGTTGTGTCCTGTGTCTTGTACCTCTGTTTCTAATCGGAAAAAGTGGTGTTTCTCTGTTCTCTGTGTTTTTGGGATGGTAGTAATGTCAAGAGACAATATAATAAGAAGGGATAATAATATGGGATCAACTGCCAAACAGTGATTTAGTAAATTTTGGATAAATTATACTTTGACCTCATAAACTATGACTTTTTTTTATATTACCACTTAAATTATCATATTTTTTATATTATACACTCTCAATTATTTGATTAGTTGTACACTGTTCTAATTATTAACGAAAAAGCTATTTCATTTTTCTCAACGTGTTGACAATTTTTATCCAAAAAAAAAAAGCAGACATTGGCATTTGGAACAATGTGAAATAATCAAATAATTTAAATAATTGAGAGAACAATGTGAAAAATTTAATAGATCAAGGGGCAATGTGAAATTGAATCCATAGTTTAGGGAGTCAAAGTATAATTTATCATATTTTAAACTTGTTTTTTTTAAATTACAAATTTTTTTAAGAAATGATTTAAACCTATGAAAAGATGAAACAAGTTTTTTAAGGTTTTTTTTTACCAAAAGATTATTTTTGTTTATGGAAAAATGATATTGTGAGGGAATCCTCATGTTATAGCATTGAGCATTGCTTTAATTTTTCATATTTCTATTTGACAGAGTAAAAATTTTCTAATTCTACAACCATTTATACAATACTGTATCAAGAAATTGCGAAGATATAAAAATCAAATACTTTCCCTTAGTAATTACCAATTTAACAAATTTTTTGTGTTAAATTCATGTGTTCATAATTGATATTTATTTAATCTATTTATTATTCATTTATTATTGTCACATTATTCTCTGCATTTGAATAAAAAAAGAAGAAGAAGAAAATAAGACAATGAAATATGAAAATAGAGTGAGAAACACTAAAAAGCAAATATTTTTTTCTATCCAAAAAGTAAAGCCATTACAAAGCCTTCAAATATTTTTTTTCGAAAGTCTCAAATGTTTGGAGACAAGTTTTTGTCTAAAAATAAACTTACTTTCAAACTTCTCCAACCTTTTGGAGACAAGTTTTTGTCTAAAAATAAACTTACTTTCAAACTTCTACTTTCTTATGAGTTATTGGGGAAATTCGTGTTTGAAGACACAGTGTAACGTGAATAGTTTTGAGAATAATGTTGGTGATCGTTAAATAAGTTTATTTGAGACCGTCGAATGAATTTAATGAAGTCTATCCCATTTTATATTATAGATGTCTTTTTTTTAATCATCAATCCTTTGCTTTTTAGTGTTTCTTTTTTTTTTTTTTAACAAAAACACAAATTTAAGTTTAATCTATTTATTGAGAGAATATTCAATATAATGGTAATACCATGTTATTATTGATGATATGATATCACCAATTAATAATAAAATCCTAAATGGATAAAGTGAATTATACTTGAATAGTTATTGACTTATATAGAAGAAGAGTGAGTAGTTATCTACTTACCTAGACGGGTACTTATTGACTTGTGTGAGATCCACTTCCTTATTTGTCTGCATATTATTGATTAGTAATACCACGTGATAATTCTGACATAATATTACAGTTACAATGAATATTTTTTCTTTTTTATGATCTATTCATAGTCATTGCATCATACCATATTTATATCGTATACAATCATGTATAATTAGGTCCAAATCAGTTCATTTTGATAGAGGATTTGGTGGGTTATTAGCATAAATATAACTTAAATTTATTAAAACTAAACTCGTACCCACTAACTTTTAATTGATTTTGTGTGAGATTAATGGATGATGTTGAGGAACTTTAGGTCCAGCTTCTTTATGCATCGATGAAGTTATTAGTATTTCCAAGGCTCAAATCAATTGTGGTCCGACAAAGGTAATTAATCGTAGATTTAGACTCCTTTCAATATATTTTTTAATTTTTTTTGACGAATTATCTATCTTTAATGAATGAAGGGTCCACTTGTATACAATGGGAACTGCTAAAATGCATAGTAAGTGACCCGTCCAGAAAAAAAATCAAAAAAAAATACTTCAAAAAGAATCGCACTCTACTGATCAGTAGCTTTATACCAAAAATGAGGAGAAGTTATTTTCAAATTTTAACCTACAATACATCGCTTGGATTGATAAACATGTCATACCGATGAAAACCCGATTTTTGATATATAACACCAATTTTAGTATCAATAACTTTTCATGTTACCTAAAGAAGAAAAATACAAGTTAGTTGCATTCTAGCAATGACAGTACAAAAATTAGAAATAAAAATATTCTTGAATCAATTGTTTTGGTACTGTAATTACTAAACTTTTTTGTCCAAATACTCTCTTCTTTTTAATTTATCTTTTTATGTACAACATTTTATATATATGATAGTGATTTCAACACACGTTTTGCAATTTAAAAGAGTTTATAAAATATGTTTTGGGTTAAAACTAAATTTTCGTATAAACTACGACAAATTATACGATATACTAAAATAATTAATTTAGGAGAGAGAATACTCGAGAAGTTTTCCCTAATCAAATTTTATTTTCTCTTAATTTTGAATTATTTAATTAGTCTCCTCCAATTGAATTCTAACACATGACGTATGTAACCACTTCCAATGTTTTGATAACCGTTTCACATTTGAATTTCTCTTCATCTATATTAACTCTTTTACATTTAAATTTCTCTTCATCTATATTAACTCTTTTACATTTAAATTTTTGTAAAATATCTATTTTTTTTTTGTTTCAATGGTTAGGGTAGTGTATTCATAAGGGATAACTCTCTCACGGTCTGACCCTAAAGAGTTGTCAAGATTCAAACTCAAGACGTCTTAGTTTTATAGCTCATCCCTCTTACCATTTGAATTATCTCTTGGAGTTGTAAAATTTCAATTTAACATATTAATAAATAGTTTTCAAATAATGTTATGATGCGTGGGGATATGGGTGACGATTGAGTGAGATCAAAGGACATAGTGACAATGAAGAGATATTATAAATTTTGTACATCGTACTAAGCGACCACTAGTTGAGAAATAAATTAGTCATCAAAGTAGTTCCGTAAAATAGTTTGAAAATCACCATATGATAGGTTAAAAAAATGTTATACAATTTAAATAAAATTTAAGAAGTACAACTCAAATGTTTATCATCTCGTAAATGAGTGAGTCTCACGGAAAAAGTTGATAAGACCCTCTCATCTAAGTGATGATGTACATTTTGATTTATAATTTTTTGAGTTTTATTTGAGTTATGTAATATTATTTCATAAAAAAATTATGAATTTTTTTTTTTTCCTATTGAAGAAATAATAGATAAAAGGTACTTTGAATATTGGGCTGGATAAAGAAGAACAGAGACAGAAAAGAGATAAGAATAAGGAGTCAGAGGCTTGCAGTACAAGGGCCGGCCAGTGTGGACCACACCATGAAAGTCAGGCAAAAGCAATTGAGAAAGAAGCTGACAATGAGTTTTCACACAAAGTCTTCCCAATTTCCAATTCTGGCCTATCAGTGGGGTTTGATTGTTCAGTTGAGATTTACGTGTGTGTGTGTAAATCAAAGTTGTAAAAGAAACATCCATTTTCTTTATTCAATATCAAAACTAATCATTTATGGGTAGCACTAATCTTGCCCTTCCTTAAATCTCTCTCTCTACGTCTCTCCCGTCTCTACACAAAAAGATATTCTTTATCAATTTTGATTTTAGAGAGATAAAATGACATATTCAATATGTAAGACTTTCGATTTTAATCAAACAAAGGTAAATAATGGACACTTTTTTTCAGAATTTTGATTGATGCTATGAAAAAAGTTGTGTGGTTCATGAATTGGGTCATTGTCATCCATAATGCTAGGTTGTTACATATATTGTTTTCTTTCTAGAGCAAAAGGATTATAAATGGAGGCTGCTTTCAATTTTATTCCATCAAGCAATTTATTTCAGCACCTCCAAGTTCTGGACCACTTATAAAACAAATGCACTCCAACCCCTCCCCCCCCCCCCCCCCACCCCATGGTGGACTCCAATCATTGAAGTCAACTTGGGACAAAAAAAAAAATTCCACCATCACCAACAGCCCAACTCTCAAACAACCATCATTCATCAATCATTGAAATTAAATGGACTTTAATGAGTCCGTAGTCTTGTTTTTTTTTTTCACAATTAGAAATCGTCTTAACCGTGCAATCTTTATATTCATAGTTATTGGTATTTAAATTTTATATGTACTTGATAACCTAATAACTAGATATATTAGTTAAAACGGATTTTATGCCATGAATGAGCTCCAACTCAAGTGGGCAAGTTGACACCTCACGCCATATGCGATCATTGAACCAATCTTTGTGGGTTAACTAACTTAGACAATTAAAATTTCATGATACCATATATCATATATTCCTTAATCTATTCCTTAAAAGGTACTTATAGGTTCTTTTGGGATTTACTTATGCAGATCAAATCTATCATTCTATGCCTAATAGGAGAGAGAGGGTTTTTCAACCTCGTTGTGTGGTGGTGAGATTCAATACCAACTTATGCCAGAGTGGAGCA